GTCCAGAGCAGGAGAGAGAGCCCTTCAGCTAATGTCTTCTCAATAGACAACCCACGAGATGGTTATACAAAACATACAAGTAAATCAACAGGACAAGTTCCCCCATCGCTATGCCTTTAAGTAGCTCCTGGAAAAGGACAAGAGCTGTGACACTCAGACTCTGTCTTCCGTCGCCCCCGAGAATTCTGTCATTGTCTACAAGCCTGTGAATATACCTCTAGGTCGGCTTCCTAAGGTCTGATCTTTACCAGGGCCAATTCCAAGGTGCAACATCAAAAAGTAAACACGCTCTAGCTGGGATTTTGTTTTTAAAGGCAATTTACAAATAGTCTTAATCTAAGGGCAAAAATTATCTACCGTTTTCCTCACCATTAGGTTACCATCTATTATTTAAGGTTCTGCCTGCGCCACCAAGCACCGTAGCCACGGGCCACATGGAGCTGTTTTGATGAAGGACAATTAGGTAAAACTTACAATTCAGTCCCCAGCCTCCCTAGCCACATGTCAAGCACCCGATAGTCACACGTGTCCTGCAGCTACTGCACTGGGCATTGAGAAGACAGAGCAGAATCACAGAAAGCTGACTCGAAATGAACTGTGCACACCCCACTCTTTGGTTCTGAAAGGTCACACTGCCCCCAGCCAATCAAAGGGGGGAGCGTCTAAAGATCGCCTAAAGTAAAATTGTCACCAAATTCAGAATCCCATCCACGAACCCCGGTCTCTGTCTGTGCCTCCCGGTGGCTCAGTTATCAGGGTCACTCAGAGGCTCCAGGGAGAAGAGAAGGTGTCCGAGAGAGGCCACCTCCGAGTCACATTACCTTGGATGCCATCACACACACGGAGGGCGAGTGTGCTGCTAATAATGATTCCACCTGAGCCCTTTAAAAGCTGCTTCTCACTGGCTTCTGCTCCCGCGATGGCGGGCACTCAGCAGCAAGGTGTGAGGCGATTCTAGCCCGCTGGGCGGGACAGCATTAAAAATTCATCCCGGGAGGCAGTGACTGCATCCTATGGCCTCCCACCTGCGGGCACCCGGGGCTGCTTGGGAGCGATAAGAACTGGAAACCGGACCTCCCTGGAGATAACGTTACAGCCACTGCTGATCTTTGATTAGTCACACTCACCACCAGTCGCCATCTATTTAAAGCCGGGACCCGCCGTCCCTCCTTCGGCCACGCACAGAAAGGAGAGACTGTCTTCACCCCTCAGCCCAGATCCGGCTCCAGCAACTTCCTCTCGGGAATCATCTTTTGGGCCCGTTTGGAAAACTTCCTCAAACTCCAAGAAAGCAAATCGACTGGCAACTCCAAGGTTCACAATATAAAGACTCTGGCTTTCCCAGGTTTCCTTCATTTTCACTTCATTATTGTTCATTGTCAGGTGCAAAAATAGCACATGTGTTCTTGGTCATTAAAAAATTACGTGTCCTGGCTGGGTAGCTCAGTTGGTTAGAATTTCATCCCCGAGGTTGTGGGTTCAATCCCTGGTCAGGGCACATGTAAGAGGCAACCAACGAAGGCATCAGTAAGTGGAACAACAAATCGATGATTCTGTCTCTCTGTCTCTCCCTCCCTCCCTTTCTCCTTCCTCTCTTTCTAAAATCAGTAAGTTAAAACAAAACACAACTTGAAGTCTATTGGAGGCAATGCAACAGCAGGAGGCCCAGAGCTGGCCCCTTCCAGAACAGGAACCAATTCATACTTGTCAGTTTGATTCTTTCTCTCCCCAGCCCCTTAGCCACCCACCCCTCCCTGTATAAGCCACAGGCCCCCAGCGTGGGCCTGCTTCTGTGCTGAGGTCATGGTTAAGAACCCATTGGCTGGTTAGTATCCCAACTGTGCCCGCTGTTGGCTGCAGGGGGATGGGCAAGTGGCTGACTTCTTTCCCCTGAAAATTTACAGACAGCATGATGTGTTAATGAACAAACCACTCTTTTACAGAAAAACATACAAGATTTCGAAAGCCTCCTATACACATACACATACACAATACAACATAAACCCTATTGTCCCCCCCATTCTCTCTGCCCCCCAATACACAATGAACCAAGTTGGCAGGAGGGTTTATGAGGTCAAAGGCGCAGGCCTAAACACCCGATAAGAAGGCAAGCTGCCTTCTTCAAGAGGGGTCAGGAGGCACACTGAGCTTATTTTGGGACCAGAGACACGCCCTGCACACGCCGAAGGGCAACGGTGCCCACGTTCCACAGCTAAGGCCTGCACTCTAACACGCCTCTGCTCTTCCTCACCGGGCAGCCCCAGGGCAGAGGGGGCCGCAGGCACGTCGCTCTTCTCAATGAAATGGTGGGGAAGGAGGTCACAGCTGCTCAGGGGCAACGTGGGAAGATCTGTGACAAGTCCCCATGCTGCAGGTGGTGAATCTGTCATCGAAAGACAGCACTGATTCCAACGTATTGACTAGAAACAACAGCAAAAAAATATCTTGGAAGAAATCGTGAGCCAACTACAAACAGTGATAAAGTGGGGGCGGGGCAGGCAGGAAATGCCTACTGGAATGTGTGCATGCCACAGAACTACACTACATAGGAAAGCATTAAGAGCAAAGGAAACAGCCCTGGCTGGTGTGGCTCAGTGGATTAAGTGCCGGCCTGCAAACCGAAGGGTTGCCAGTTCAATTCCCAGTCAGGGCCCATACCTGGGTTGCGGGCCAGGTCCCTAGTAGGGGGGCACATGAAAGGCAATCACACATTGATGCTTGTCCCCCTGCCTTCTCCTCTGTCTAAAAATAAATAAAGCCTTAAAAAAAAAAAAGAACAAATGATCCCCAGGTTTAATGCAGGAGCTACATTATAAAAATGAGTGCAACCCCCCCAAATTTGAAAACATTTATTCATAAAGATATATATACTGTACCCCTATGTAGCCAAGACATGGAAACAACCTAAGTGCAAAGAACATGTGATACCTATATAATGGAATATTACTTAGCCGTAAAAAAGGTGAAATACTGTCATTTGTAGCAGCATGGATGATCTTGAGAATATCAAGCTAAATGTAATAATTCAGATGGAAAAGGACAAGAACCGTGTGATTTCACTCATATGTGAGATATAAAACCAAAAGCAACAACACACATGAACGAACAAAACAAACAAACAAACAAATATGCTCGCAAACATGGACAACTGAATGGTGGTTCCCAGAGAAAAGAGCGTTAGCAGGGAGGGTGAAGAGGGCGCAGGGGGTCAAGGATGTGGTGACAGGAGACTAGACTCCGGGGGGTGGGTACACAGTGCAGTGTACAGATGATGTACACAGACTTGCACACTTGAAACTTAGACACCCTCATCAACCGACGTCGCCCCACTAAACTGAACTTTAAAACACTGAGTGACGCTGAGTGCGGGAGGGAGACATCTTTGCCTGGGAGCTGAAGAAACGGACCCCCGACCTGTGGATCCTTTCACGTTCCAGGGAACACCTGCCCTGGTCCTTTCTCTCTTTTCTGAAAAGTCTAAAGAGTATCTCTGAGGGGGCCAAGCAAGTAAGGGCAGCTCCCAGAATCCTCCTTCCAGGAAGCTCTGCGTTGCTGACAAGCTCTTGGCTCTGAGTGGGCCTGGGCTTTGCATCTCAACACAGGTCCTCGGAGGAGACCCCGCCCCACGCGGGCACACTCTCCCAAAGGATGTGATCCATGCTGGATCTCAGAATTCTCAGCTGGAGTGGAAACAGCCTTGAAAAGCCTCGCAAGGCATCCGGGGTCATCAAAGGAGGAACTGCCTTCCCTTATGAAATCCTGCACGACCCAAAATCCTAAAAACCAATAGCAGAGATGGACGCTCTAGTGCATTTCCCAAAGTGGATTTTCTACTGGGGAAAGCAGGAAACAACTAGCTGATGATTTGGCAACAGCAGGCTGACGATAAAGAAACACAAAAGCATATGATATGTGAAGGATTATCTACTTTAGAGTAAATTAGAATACAGAGCAAACATGAGTCCCTTTAAATAAGAAAAATTTATCCATGGCCAAACGCCATGGCCAAAACCACATTTAAATGATTCCGAAGTGAGCAATCTGTCAAATTAGGTCCAGGGTTATAATAGTCATTCATTTGGAAAGACAAGCATACAAGTACTGCTCACATGCTAAAAAGCGCCCTTGACATAAACACGGACAGTCCCAAATCAATGATTATTTGTGCTTTCATAACCCAAGACTATAACCCATAAAGCTCGGTGAAACACCAGCAGAGACTGCAGTGGGATTTCCTGGAAATGCTACCACGCGATTTCACTTTGAACTTGCAAGCAAATATCCAGGCATGATCTGCATGCAACTGGGTGGTGTTTTGTTCTAGAACGATGGGCCCCAATTAAAAATAATGAGGCCTGTCTCCAGCCGCCAGACCCAATTAGAGATAATGAGGACTGATAGCTCCTGAAATAGATTCATTTTTCTCTGATGGACGCGTTGGGACAGGGGTCCTGGAAGGGTCATCAAGACAGGCCTGGCAACAGAGCCCGGGTCACTCAGGCTTAAGATACCCTTAGGAGTCCAGTTATTAAATAAGGAAGTAGGGTAACCCCGCCCGAGGTCCACCCAGCAGCCGCTTACACCATTCAGATACACGCTCTTGGACAAACGGGGTGTTGATGACTGTTAAACACTTTTTAATAATGGCCGTAACCATTAAACGGTTGTTTAACAAGATACTGAGAAGAGGTGTGGCTGACTTCGTGCATGTGTGTGTACACACGCTTTTTATTTGCAATGACTTTAGACTTACAGGAAAGTTGCCGAGACAGCACAGGGAGATCCCACACCCCTTTCCGCCAGTTTCCTTTGTGTGTCTTACATAACCTGGCACATTTGTCTCAACTAAGAAATGAACGCGACTGTCAACTAAACTCATTAGCCTGGAAATGGGAGCGGGACCGAGATTGCGGGATGGAATTGAAGTGGGGGGACAGGGACGTGGCAGGAAGCAATGCAGAGACATGCAATGTGACCGGAACAAGGGTGGACCCGCTCACCTGGACAGGTACGGACAGGTACGGGCAGGCCGGCAGGTTGCGCCCCAGGAGTCTGATTAGCCTCTTCAGGTGCAGAACGTAGAACGGTGATCACCGGAACTGGGCGGAAGAGGGCACGGAGTTTCAGGTGGGAGAGATAAGAAGGTTCTGGAAATGGGTGGTGGGGAGGCTATCCCAACAAGGTGGGCTTAATTCTACACACCGCATGTTTAAACGTGGTTAAGACAGCAAATTTTGTGTCTTGCATATTTTACCAGCATAAAAAATGAACTCATCCACACACAAAAAATCTCTATTTGTCTTCTTTTGAAACTTTAAATGTTTAAGGTCTGGTTGGGTAGCTCGGTTGGTTAGAGCACCGTCCTGCTACGCCAAGGCTGTGGGTTTGACCCCAGGTCAGGGCACATACAAGAATCAACCAATGAACGCATAGGTAAGCAGAACAACACATTCATCTCTCTCTCCCTTCCTCTCTCTGAAAGCCATGCTTTAAAAATAATAAAATAATAAATTAAAAAATTTAACAATGATATATCAGAAAAAGAAAGTAAAAACCCCATTTACAATTGCATCAAAAGAATAAAATAGCCCTGGCTGGCGTAACTCAGTGGATTGAGTGCGGGCCTGCGAACCAAAGGATCTCGGTTCAGTTCCCAGTCAGGGCACATGCCTGGGCTGCAGGCCAGTTCCCAGAAGGGGATGCACATGAGGCAACCACACACTGATATTTCTCTCCCTCTCTCCTTCCCTTCCCCTCTAAAGATAAATAAATAAAATATTTTAAAAAATTAAAAGGTCAATTCTTAAAAAAAAATCATTAATAAATCAAAACAAGGAGGTGAAAAATCTGTACCCTGAAAAACATGGCATTGATGAGGGAAATTGAAGATACAAAGAAGTGGAAAGCTATTCCATACCCATGGATTGGAAGAATTAATATTGTTAAAATGTCCATACTACCTAAAGCAATCTAGATATTCAAAGCAACACTTATCAAAATTCCAAAGGCATTTTTCACAGACATATAAAAAACAATCATAAAATGTGTATGGACCCACAAAAGACCTCGAATAGCCAAACAAATACCAAGAAAGAAAAACAGAGCAGGAGGGCTCACACGTCCTGACTTCTAACTACATGACAAAGCCATGGTAATCAAATCAGGATGGTATTGGTGTAAAAACAGACACATGCATCACTGGGACAGAACAGAGAGCCCAGAGACAAACTCATGCGTACAGTAATTTACAACGAAGGAGCCCAATAATATGACAAAGGAGACAAGAATATATAACAGGGAAGGATAAAGGACAGTCTCTTCAATGAATGGAGCTGGGGAAACTAGACAGCCACACGCAAAAAAAGAAAGAAAAAAGAAACTGGACCATTATCTTAACCATAGACAAAAATCAACTCAAAATAGATAAAGACTTGAACATCAGATGTGAAACCTTAAAACTCCTGGGTGGGGGCAGGGAAGGAAGAGGATAAGCTCCTTGACATGGGTCTTAGCAATGAATTTTTTGGGGGGGATTTGACACCAAAAAAAAAAGTCACAAGTGCAGAAATAAACAAGTTGGAATATATATATGTCCCAACACCTGAGGGACAAGGCAGAAATAAGGACCAGTCACAAGCCACCTCTAGAATAATCCTGAGAGGTTTACACACATCCCCTCAGGACAGGTCTGTGACGTCCTTCTCAGGCGGTACCTAATTGGTCCAACAGAGAGAACACGATCATTATCACGCAGCTGGCCCGTCACTGCCACAAGTCCCTGGGCTTGGGAAAAGCAAAACCAGGGTGGGGCGCATGCACCTGAAGTGAGAGTTTCTTCAGTCAGACAGACAGGCCGCTGTGCTTTTGTGAGTCCAAAACAAAACAGTGAGTGGAAAAGGAATATTCGGGATCGACGGTTCACTGAAAGATCACTTTGCTTTTGAGAGACATGCCCTAAAAAGCCAAGATAAGTGTGTGAAACTCCTTGAAACAGCCCAGCCTTGCGGTTCTATCTTGAGACAACTTCTTCTCACCTTTACGTCTAAAATCAAGGCATTGATTCAGGGGGAGATATTTGGATGTTCATAGAAGTTGCACATATATCGAAATCACCATCGAAATGGCTATCCTTTGATTTAAAGTTGCAGCGGACGATTATTTAAAAATATAAAGAGAAATAAAGTCTTATTTGCTTCATACAGAGTCCCAGGCACACGCTCGCTGCGACATGGTCTAAATTCGAGGCAGTGTGTACGAATGTGCGGTTTGCGTTCTCAAGTCGAGCACGCCGTGCGTGGAGTTTTCTGTCTGTGGCTTCTAGGAATGACAGTTTCAAAATCAGGGGTGTTGTACTTTTCATTTCAGGTGCAATTTAACTTCTAATTCGCAGAGTCCTCTCCATCCTCCAGGCCAGCGACTAACTTTATTCCTGGTGATTAAAGTCACTGGTTTTGATACACAGATACTGGTTTTGGTAAGTAGGTCTCTTTGCTGGGCACATCGGCCCCACTACCTGCGCCACCGTGACACTGTTCTTGGAAACGAATTCTCGTGGAATTTTGGAAGGTTAAGCTAAGTGCACTGAGAGAACACTACTGCGTATCCCTGTGGTAGGTTTCAAAGCACACAGATCTCACGTAGGGCAGGTGATGAAACGCAGGCATTCTTAGAGCCCAGAGCATCCCAAACAAGTCAGGCGCTAGGACCTCCACTGTATTCTCCAGCTGAAGTTGGGGAGGTCTTTTTGTCCCGTCCGTTACACCCAGGCATGTAATCAGGGATTGCTCCTATTGTGAGTCCCAGATCCACCATCTGTACGCTCCAAAAGGCTGGCTGATTGTTAATACCCTGTCCCTATGGGATTAATCTGCAATTTCACACTGAATGATTTTTAAGTATAATTTGTTACAATAATACAACATTACCATTTCTAAAACAAACAGCCAGGTTCGTTACCTCGCAAAGGGGAAGTGTCCAGGGAATGTTGCACTGAAATACGTTTGTGTTACTGTTTTATAGGAAAAAAAAAGAAAAAACAGTCTAGAACTTCGGAAGGGGTCTTAGGAAGCAAACAAGTTGCTTTTTGTTACTGGGGAACAGGATCTCAAAATGCAACAGTGATAAAACAGTTCTCTGAGCAGTGTTTTGAAAGCCCTTCCCATTGGTTGGTTGGTTAGTTAGTTAGCTGGGGTTTGCAGGATAAAGCAGCTTGCAGTGAAAAAAATCTCAGTGCATATTCTTTGTTGGCCAAAGAACTGTTCAAGGCCTTTTTGTGGACAAATGAGGGGCCCCCAAACCAGTCTATGCTGGCTTGAAGCAAAGAATTTATGCCTTATCATAAGGCATTCCTCATTTTCCTGTGTTACACAAAAATTAACATCCACGGCTGAAAGTCTCTTTTTAAAAGAAAGAGTTTATTAGGCACGAAAAGTTCAGGTCCAAGGAGATGAAGCCTGAACCACCAGCAACAATGGTCAGGTAAAAAAAAAAATGACTCTGTCTTCCTGGAATTGTTGAGAATGTTTATACATCTCCCAGGTAGGGGTGGGGGCGGGCGGGCGGGGATGTAAGCCATTTGGAAAGAATTTACATTAGCTATAGACAAAGGGGCTGAGAGAAGGAGCAGTGGGGCCAGGTCCAGGATAGGCACACAGTCAGCAGAGAAGGTGTCCACCCCTGTGAATTCGCTGTGGGCAGCAGATTAGAAAATTCATGTGCAAATAAGAAGCGGAGGCTCCTGGGGTGGGAGTGGCGAAGGCTTCTGGGCTTCCAGAGCGCCTGGCTGTTCTCTCTTTCGGAATCACGGAAATAGCCACCTGGAAGTTAATCCCAAATTCCAACAGATTTACAGGAATGTGAGTGGTCTTTTGTCAGAGCTGGTTTACAGCTATTAACAGGCTAACTGTTCTGTCTCTTTCACTCTCCAACCATTGGAATTTAAAAAAATTTTTTTCATTGATTTGAGAGAGACAGAGTGACAGAGACGTCAATGGATTTGTTGTTCCACTTATTTATGCATTGATTATTTGATTCTTGTATGTGCCCTGACCAGGGATAGAACCCACAAACTTGGGGTGTAGGACAACAATCTAAGCAACCAAGCTACCCGCCCAAGGCCAGCCACTGGGATTTAGAGCACCTCAGAAACTCTTGGCCCACGTCTTAGTTTGTGACGCAGAAGATATCACTATCATGAGAAGTTTCAACTGTATGAATTTCAAAACATAGCATCCAAAATAGTATTTTTACTTGAAATCTACTCCAACCATGACAAAGGATACCAAACGCTAAGACAATTTCATCTACTTCACTAAAAATGAAGCCTCACTATTGGATTAAAACAAATACAGCAATTTTATTTGCCCAACCTTTTTATGGGGGGTTCGAATGCACCCTTCTATGGATCAAATGCTTGAGATGCTGGATCCAGTTACCTAAGAGTTTTAAAGTGGGGGTCTGCACAAGCCCCTTTGTTCAGCTCCATTTTTACACTTATAATCTACCCCAGGAACTAAATGTGTGACTTCTGTAAGGCCGGTGTGGGAAGCATAAACTCCTCAGAATAGAGCGGCATCCTTAACAGAGGGACCTACCTCGCCCCAAGCCACGTATCACAAGCCTTAAGTGTCCCGCCTGTGTGAAACCGCTCAGAGCAGAAAAGCAGCGGGGAGGGGCCCGCTCCACACCACTCTCCCCCACCCCACCCCGGACACCACCCGGTAGAAAGAGCCGGAGCAGCGTTGGAGCGGTCTCCTCCCCCTCCAGGGGGCACCGCCTTGCCAGCCTCTGAGCATGGGAAGGAGAACTGGGCGGCGGGATGTGCAAAGCACTTAGCACCCTGTTGGGCAGAGTAAACTGTCCGGAAGGATGGTTATTATTTTTATCTGCTACTGATGATCTTTCTGAGGTTTCCATAGCAACAAAGGCATTCAAAACTTGACTTCTGTCTTCACTGTCATAGGAAGAACACAGTGTTCAATGGAACACGTGTTCAAGGACAAACTTGTGGAGCCCAAGGCACTGGGATTGAGTGATAAGGAGTGGGGGGCCCACGCAAACAGAGGGGCACAGGCCGACCCTCCAATGGAGCAGCTGCGTTCGGCACCAGCAGACGGCTGCCTCATGGGATGGCAGGCCTGGGGTCGGCAACTTTTCACGTTTTGGGGAAAAAAAGGTGGAAATCCAAGCTCGAAGGATTTTAAAATGCTGGTTTCTAATTCAAGGCGTTTGTTTGTTTAAGCCCTTGAGCCAAACAAAGCTAGTCTGTGGCTGTGTGTGGCCTGCAGACTCCTGGTTCAGGATTCCTGGTAGAAACCAGCAGTAAAAAGGCCCTGGCTGGGTAGCTCAGTTCATTAGAGCATCATCTAGCTACGCCAACACTGCAGGTTCAATCCCTCATCAGAGCACATACAAGAAGCTACCAATGAAGGCATCCATAAGTGGAACAGACCAATATCTCTTTCTGTCATCAATTAAAAAAGAAAAAGAAACCAGTAGAAAAAGACATACAAGGAAAGCAGAATATGGAATAGGTTGATAATCACTGTTCTGCTTAATAATGCAGACTCAGATTAGACACAGAATTATACATTGTGCCCCCGGCATGGAGCTAGAGGCCGAACAACAGGCTCTGCATAAAGCCGGCCCTGCTCTTTTTTGCAGGTGAAGGGTCTTGCCTTCAACTTGTAAAACATGCAACATCTATGAAGCAGGAAAAGGCAAAGCACAGGGGTGCCCGTACACGCAGTAGCCAGATTAAATCAATCACCGGATTCAGGTACGAGACTGATTGCTGAATGGCATTTCCTGGTGGATAAAGGAAAGTAAAGGTTTAGATTAAGAGACTGTGGGTTGGGGCAGAAGGTAAGGACCCTGAATACTGATTACACCTAAAACACCATTGTTTTAGGGGAGCATAAGCTGACTTCTCCCTGGATGCCAGGAAAAGGCCAGCTCAAACCCACCCAAGGACGAGAGAGCTGTTTGGTAAACCCAGATTCTACTGGTTTGAAAGGTTGAGACAGCTTCCCAAAGTAACTGGATCGATTCCTTGTTTTCTCCAGGAGAATCTACTTCCAAAACAGCAAGAAGAGCCTTTAGAAATACAAAATCACCTGAAACACAGCCCGTGGTGGTGCTACCCCCGTGCCTCACACGGCCCTGAAAGATGCGTGTTGTTATTCCTTTTCTAGGGATGAGAAAACAGGTGAGGGGAGCAACTCGCCCAAAACTCCTTGGCCGAGGAGAGGAAAGGGAGGGATGGTGCTAAGGCTTGAACCCTGGCTGGTTCCTCAAAAAATTAAAGCTAGAGCTATCTGATGGCCCAACAATTCCATTTCTGGGTTTATATCCTAAGCAATCCATAGAACTAACTCAAAAAGATAATATTACCCTATGTTCACTGCAGCATTATTTACAACAGCCAAGATATAGAAGCTACCTAAGTGTCCATCAGTAGATGAATGGATAAAGGTGTGATATATTTTTTATATAAATACATATATAACATATGCATATACTCATATGTAAATAAACATGGACATTTATTAATACACATATATAAATAAATATTACTTGGCCATAAAAAATAATGAAATCTTACCATTTATGGCTGCAAAGATGGACCTAGAGGGTATAATGCTAAGTCAGAGAAAGATAGTATATGATTTCACTCATGTGTGGAATCTAAAGAACAAAATTAATGCACAAGCAAAACAAACAGATTCATAGATGCAGAGAACAGACTGACTGATGGTTGTCAGAGGGGAGGGAGCTGGGGGGATGGGTGAGAAAGGTGAAGGGGTTAGAAGTACAAAATGCTGGTTACAAAATAGTCATGGGGACGTCAAATCCAGCACAGGGAATACAGTCAGCAAATCCAGCACAGGGAATACAGTCAGCAATATTGTAACAGCTATGTATGGTGCCTGGTTACTAGAATTATTGGGAGCGGGGGTAGAGTCACTTCGTAAATTATATAAACGTCTAATCACTGTTTTTACACCTGAAACTAATATGAAATATTGACTTCAAAGTGTAATTAAAATGTGAAATTTTTAAAAAGAGAATTTGCTATTTATATACATGGGCTTGACATGGAAGTTCAAGGATGAGAAGCAGAGGACGGGGAACCCCCACACTGGGTGGGCCTCAGAGGTGGAATCCATCTGGCCTCTGGTTTGTCAATCTCCCTGCACCGGTCGGTGCCCATTCTCTGCCACGTCAAGGGCACTTTCTGCCATCCAAGGAGACGAGGGGCCGCTCTAAAGGTTAGAAAGGCGTTCCTTATATTGACTAGAATCAGCCCTGGAATCTACAACATGGTGGTCTTAATTCTGTCTTGTGGAGTCACAGACCAAAATAAGCCTCTGGTTTTTATTCTTCTTATACTGAAGAAAAACTCTCAAAAGAAAAAAATCCTTTTCATAAAGAAATACTGGGACATACTGCCAAAACTGACAATGAAATTGAGGTCATTATAAATGGACAGAGAAAGACAATTTGGAAAAAAAAACCAAAATCTCCTGCAACTTGCTTGGCGCACGTTCATGGGCCACACTCTTTAACAGGTTTAATTTCATGAGCCCACTAACCACCATTCAGAGGACAAGACAGCATTGAACTGGGTGTGGGTGGAGGCTGTAGGCATCAAGAATCACAGACATGGCAGTGTTCCCTTCTGGGGAATATCCGAGGGTTTAGCATCCTTTTATTAAATAAAATGTAGGGCAATTATAAGTGGCAGTCCCTCTACAAACGCACTCCCAAAGAGAACCCTAATACACTCATCAGTCATGCTAACGTGCAAAGCAGATCAGCGACCAGTACCCTTTCATGTTCCCCCACAGGAAAAAAAACCGACTCCGCGCCCCCGCCTCCAAAGCTGAGTCTGACACCACACGGTGGCTCATTCCAGTGCTCTGACCCTTGCATGTCATGAAACCAGAATCAGAAATTACTTTTAGGGGTGGCCGGAACCTCGGAGAGTGGATACTGGGTAAGTTTGCCATCAAGAACTTTCTTAAAAGAAAATGCCACTTGGCTGGTTTTTAGCACTTGACAAAGCAAAAACAAAAAAAATTTTTAAGTCTCTTAATCTCCAGAGGATCTACTGTAAGCCAGACACAGCCCCGGGGCGGGGGGGGGAGGGCGGCAGGCTGTGGTGTTCTAGTCTAACCATTCATGAAAAAGCACTGTGCTGTTTCTGCTTCAGAGCCATGGCCTTCGGTTCACTGTTCCGGCCAGTGGTCAGAGAGGAAGAAAAGGAGCTGTTTGTTTATTGCTACAAATCATATATTCCTGACCACACTCCCCCTTCCCTCCTCATTACCAGAATACCAGAATAGTAAGCAAAGCGCAAGTCAGGAACTTAGGGAAAAGAATTGGTTCTGGCCTCTGATAAAATCGAGCTTCTTAATCAAACAAAACCTACTTGAAACTCTTGCTGAGTTAGTATACTAGTTTTTCATCTGACCATAGACACACTGGGCCCACACAATGCACACGAGATCCTCCCGCTTATGACTGAGTTGCTTTAAGCTCATCCTCAGCATCACAAACAAATGTTTCCTGCCAAACCACGGGCAGCCTAGCTCTGAGCAGACCAGACAGATAACCCACTCAGCAATCCGAACTTCAGAAACACAGGCCCAGATTAGAGCATTTTCTACTGCATCAAATCTCAGAGTAAGACAGAAAAAGCCATACACTTACCGCTTTTGCTTCCTTTGGCAGAGGTCTCATGACCCGGGTTTCTATCAGCCTTGTGGAAATCTCGAGAGCAGGCAAGCAGCTGCTTCTCCCAAATCAGGACCAATCCGAACCTCTCCCTTGCTAGAAGCAAATGCTAAGGTGCTATTTAGCTAAGGAAACAGGCGGGCTTCACCTTCTTTAATTTAAAAAAGAAATAAAGGTATTGGCCATCTTTAGCTCAGTAAGGAGATCACCTGGTACGGGTGCCCCCAGGCTCGTTAAATAACCATGGATCTCAGTGATGCATCTGCGATCTTGCTTCCCAGCAATTGTCGTCAGTTTGGCTCAGATAAACTCATAAAAAAAATCCCCTCTAGGTTGGGATGTTTCTTTTGTTGAAAACCAGGAGGTAGAAGTTGCAGGATTTCTGGAAGGTGATATATTGTTGCATCTTGTGCCTTTCTATTGGTTCCTCTCACAGCGATTGCTGTTTTTCTAATCGTGGATTAGTTCACTTTACACGCCAGTTCCTACCAGGAAACAGTGTTATTTGCCAAACAACATGCAGGGGTTTGTATGTTCTTACTTTGCCATGTTTTTGCTCAAGTCTCTTACTTGAGATGATTGATTGCTTTGATCAATCTACCTTTGAAAAGGAGTTCGTGTGGACTTCCGCCAAGATGGAGGCATAGGTGGATGTGCCGGGCCTTCTCACACAACCAAGTTTAGAGACAACTAGATATTAGCAACAGAAAACACAGGCAGAACACGGAAAATTGAACTTTTCGGAAGTCCGTTAACAACAAATTCTTCAGCCTGACCGGTAAGGGGCGAAACCAGCGGCTGGTGAAGCGGGGTTGCACAGGAAAACTCGGTCAGACGGACTCAGGTGCGGAATCCAGACGCGCGGGGTCCAGGTGCAGGGTTGGACCTAGTGAGCCACCGAGCAAGCAACCAGGCGAGCGACTGTGGGGGAGACAGCAGAGGAGCGGGGCTGCATGTTGACTGTGGTCGCGCATTTGTGCGCGGGTGGACAGGCGAGGGAGTGGGCGACTGGACCGGGACCCAGTGGGTCCCCGCAGCAAGCGGCAGGGAGAGCGCCGCCATTTCCCTGCTCTGACCCTACCTCCACATGCAGCGTCATAACCCAGTGACTCTGAGTGGCCTGGCCCAGGTGAACCACCAAAGCCTCTGCTCCTCACCCAGTTGTGAGAAACAGCGGAGGGGGTTGCCATTTCCCCGCTCTGACCACGCCCCCACATACAGCGTCACAACCCAGCGACCTGGGAGTCCAAGGCGCCGCTTCTCACACTTAAAGGGCGCGAACAGAACAAAAATGGCTCAAGAAGATCTCAAAAGCCCCAGAACCTATATATCTAAGCAATGAAGGAATAGCAAAACTCTCAGACGCACAGTTTAAAACACTGGTGATCAGGATCCTCACAGAACTGGTTGATTATAGCCACAAATTAGACAAATATATGAAGGCGAAACTAATTGAAATGAATGGAATTGCACAGGAAACCAATAGCAATGAGAAGGAAACTGGGACTCAAATCAATGGAGTGGACCAGAAGAAAGCAAATAATGGCCAAACAGAAAAGAGTCAAGAAGCAAGAATTCAAAGAAATGAGGAGAGTCTTAGGAACCTCCAGGACATCTTTAAATGCTCCAGCATCCGAATTATAGGGGTACCAGAAGGGGGAAAAGCACAGCCACCAGTGGAAAACTTATTTGAACAAATAATAAAGGAGAATTTCCCCAATCTGGCAAAGGAAATAGACTTCCAGGAAATCCAGGAAGCTCAGAGAGTCCCAAAGAACTTGGACCCAAGAAGGAACACACCAAGGCACATGATCATTACATTAGCCAAAATTAAAATGAAGGAGAGAATCCTAGAAGCAGCAAGAGCTAAGGGGACAGTCACCTACAAAGGAGTCCCCATCAGACTGTCAGCGGATTTCTCAAAAGAGACCTTACAGGCAAGAAGGGGCTGGAAAGAGGTATTCCCAGTCATGAAATCCAAAGACCTACAACCAAGATTGCTCTATCCAGCAAAGCTTTCATTTAGAATGGAAGGACAGATAAAGTGCTTCTCAGATAAGATCAAATTCAAGGAGTTCATCATCACCAAGCCCTTATTATATGAAATGTTAAAGGGACTTATCTAAGAAAAAGAAGTTAAAGAAACATGAACAGTGAAAGGACAGCAAACTCACAGTTATTAACAACCACACCTAAAACAAAAGCAACCTAAGAGGACAGCTAGATCAGGAGTGGAAACATAGAAATGAAGATCTCAAGGAGGGGTAGCAACAGGGGAGTGGGAGAAGGAGAAGGGGGCAGAAGGTATAGAAAATAAGTAGCATAGACAGTAGATAGAAAATAGATGGGGGGGCAAGAATAGCATGGGAAATATAGAATCTAAAGGACTTGAGACACATGGTCATAAACTAAAGGGGGGGTAATGGTGGGGATGGGGGGGTAGGGTGGAGGGGAGTGAAAGGGGGAATAGAACAACTGTAACAGCATAATCAATAAAAAATTTTTTTAAAAAGAAAAAAATATATAAAAGGTACTATGCAGCAAGAGACTTATGAATGTAACACTATTGAAATTATTTACTAAGTACTAATTCTAGACCTACTCTTACTAAAAGCTCGAACAAAATAAAAACCCTTTGCATTTCAAAAAAGAAAAAGAAAAGGAGTTCGTGTATTTCCCTCTTGATATTGATAGTTCACATCTGAGCCAGCTACTCCTATACAACCAAACGCTCAAAGTGAATGAGAAATAAATAAGGAAATAAAGGAGGATTCACAGCTCTTCCCTTTTAGGGTCCTGATTTCACGCAGTCAACTTATAATTCAGCACGCTTGAGAACACCATACATCAATAAAAGGCGGGAAGTACATTAATCTACAAAGGAAGGGTTTCTGCTGAGATAGCTGGGTTTTCTGAATAACAGAAGATGGTTGAGTAGCAATATTTTCACCACCCAACCCCAAAGCAAAGCACTCAGAAATCTCAATGTTTCATGAAATGATCACACTCGCCAGCCAAAAATCCATGCAGAGAAGGAAAGTTCGCAGGAAAAAGGGGGCTTTTGAGGGCTGCCCGGAACATCCTCTCTATTTTTTCAAATTGTCTTTTAATGAAGGGTCCTTGCTCTTCTTTTCCATGGCGCATGGGTCTGCTGAACTCAGGGACAGAATGCCTTCTATTTCTAAAGCTTTATGGAATCCACGGGCTTTCAGAAGAAAGACTTTCTTTCCAAACCACTCTAAAGATACAAAATGATCCCGTAATGAAAAGGGCTGTTACTTCAAAGGGAGGTTGTCAAGTCACCCCATGTACTTACAACTCCATTAAAGATGAAAAGAAATAAATCCACATGCTTTGAATCTGTACGACTACATCGGTGAATTAATTATAGGTCCTTCAGGGACATTCGAAGCATTGTAGACTACCTTTATAATGGATCAAAATACAAATTTAAATACATGCAGGTCGGAGAGAGGAAAACTGAGAAAGTTTCGTGTCCATGACCTTAACTAACATCTGTAAATTACTTCCCTCACCCCACCCCTCCTAGAGAATGCAAGCCGATCTATTTACTCCTAGCCAAGAAGAAAGGAGGAAGGGCGCCCAGGTGCTACAAGAAAATCATTCCGGACAGGGACCAGCGCCAAAGGCACGGGCCACCTGGATGAAAAATGAAATCCAGGTATACCCGGCCCAAGCAGCCCCAACTCCTGCCTGAACTTGAACAGATGCAGAGACATGTCCCCCTGTCCGCTTGGGGACACAGGACGTGAGGACAGCCTCCAACGCCCCCACAAACCTTGGATGCTGGGGCCTGATGTCCACAGCAGGCGCAGGGGCTGTAAATTCGGTTGAGACGCACCCCCCACCCCCTTCAGCCACTTCATGGCCCTGCGCCCTTTGCCCACTCACTATGGCTTAGCGCTTCAATCTCTCCATCGGCAAAAAGGGGACCATCCTAGCTCCTAAGGGGCTGGTGTGAAGAATAAACGAGGCAGCATAAATATGTAAATAAATAAAGACTATGACATTTTTGTTGTGACCACGGCAAATCACTCCAACAGAGGTGCAAGACTGCGGGGGCCAGAAACGCAAACTTTTCTCATGAGATCAAACTAATCGGGCCTTCCACTGGGGCTGCGGAGACCTTTGTCCGCGCCCAACCCCGCCCGCCGCCCGCGATCCGCGCCACCTTTCGCGCGGCGGCCGCCGGGCAGGGCGGGGCGCCCCGCGGCGGCGCGGGCCTTGCGGCCGGGAAGGCGGGAGCGGGAGCGCACCAGCGGGCCGCAGCCCAAAACGGCTCGGCTGGCTCGGATCCTGGCTCCGGACCCGGAGCACCGCAGCCTCTACCGCAGCTGCGGGTCCTGGCCGCCCGCGAGCCCCAAGGCGCCAGCCCAGGGCCGACTCACTCTCCAAGCGGGCCAGGGGGGCGCCGCGCGCAGACCCGGGGCGCCCCCTGCGCCCGGCTGCGGCGCTCAGCCCGGCCCCCCTTTGCGGCCCCAGCAGGTGGAGGCGCCCAGCGCGAGCGCTCCCGGCCGCTGTCCCCTCCCGCCGCGCGCCGCGCGCCAGCCCGCGCGGGCGCAACTTTCTTAAAGGGACAGGTGGCCGGAATCCGCGTCTACCTGGGGCCCGACTTGGCCTCCTGGCCCGTCCCCCCCGGTTAGGGGATAGATGGGGTCGCAACAGATCTCTTCACCCACCCACCTCCTTTCCCGAAGGGCAGTAACGGGTTGCCAGTTTTAATGGACCCAGCATCCTTTTGCAATTTAATTCTTTTGGCCTAAATCGCCCTCCCACTGCTCCTCAGTGTAGGCTTGCGGACTCGTAGTTGCTGCCACCGTGGGCAAAGTTTGAAGAGGGGTGTCGCTATGCCTGCGCCCCACCCCACCTGGAGCCCCGGGGTGTGCTAGGCTGCAGCTGCTGCTGGGAAACGCCCGCAGCCATCCCCTTGACCCTGCCCTGTAACTGACCCTAGGGGAAAAGACCCCCGCACGGCTACTGCGCATGCTCTGAGCTGGACAGCTCCAGAGAGGGAAATTTAAAAACGGTTCTTGCTGCGACGGTGGCCAAATTGCAGAACGCGAGGGGCGAGCGAGAGGGAGTCCCCCCTCCGAAACCCCCGCCCGCCCCGGGAGCGCGGGTAGCGGCGGCCCGGCGAGGATCGGCTCCAGGTACCGCCTTGCAAGGTCGGCTTTGCTCCCTCCTCCCTTCTCCGGGGAAGTGCCCTGCATCCCATTACCAGGCTGGAAACCCGGGCGCAGAGGCTGCGGGGGCTGCCTTATTCTGCTCCATTTTTTTTTTTTTTTTCCTTCCCGGGAATCCCTGAATGACTTCTGGGGCGGATCTGAGAGTCTTTGCTGGGTTTCTGTGTACATTTCAGGCGTGGAGTTTGAGAAACTTAGGGAACACTTCTTTTTTTTTTAAGGCTGTGTTGTTGTGTGTGGCGGCCGTGGGGTGGGGGTTGGATGGGTTTTCCGACAAGGGCATGCGGCACTTCTGAAGGTATTTCCAGGGCGGGCGCCATGCGGGATCATTGCTTTT